CCATTTAATTAGAGATTCCCAAAGTGTCATTTTCAGGTGTCAGATTTGTATCATTCCTATTTTATGTATCATTCTAAATTCAGTGGAAAAAAAACCAATCTATATTCGGAAAACCACCTAATTGTCCACAGTAGAGTCCCATACTCTACTGAGTACTATCACATGTTCAGAATCTTGAATATCTCAATTATTGTTTTATGTTCAAAACGTTAAACGTATTCCAGTATATTATACGTTAATTGTGCAACTACTATTAGGAACCCGCTATTTTTACAACACTTAGGCCTAAAACCGTGGTCATGAAGACAGTTTTGAGTGACAAGCAGCTGCTTGAGGGAAAGATCGCGGTAAATACGGCCTCAACCAGACAGATTACCCCGTTCAAGGATCACCTTTTCAGAGTTGTCAGCAAGAATAAGTGGGAAGTAAGCCTTTTCGAGTGAAATTATTAAACTTCGCGTAGTATGTAGTATCAAAATAATTTACGGTAGCCCTGTGGACAAAGAACCCTAGGTAGATATTTGGGACCGGACCTGAGGACCGGACCTGACAAAGGAATTTAGAAGCGGATCAGAGGACCGGATCGATTAGTGGAATTTGTGGAATAGAGAACTTAATGAGATAGCAGTGATAACTCGTCCAAAACCATAGGAACGGGTATTCTCATGTTTCCCGATGGTAGCAAAAGTCTCGTTCCACATAGGATCGTGAGTAATAAATATAGCAGGTGTGCCATTCCTAATGGCACTTATGACTTCACCTATTTCGGACTTAACACTTTTTACTAAGCGTTACTCGGTTTTGACCACATTTTTAAAGGACCGAACTACTGTTTTTATAACATAACATTCTTTACAAGTTAAACTAGCTAAAATTAATTAGTTCTGTAATTTGGTTTGTTACCGTGATATGTGAACTTACTACGGGAGCAAGAAAGCCTGTATCCGATTGTTGAAACAATTGCGTGGCATTCATCGGCAATCGGCACTGCGTACTCATAGGGTGGCGAAATAATTTTCTTCTGATTCGATGCCGGATGGAGTAACCAAGGGCAGAGGTTCATGCTACACTAGACCACTTTGGTAATTGAGCTCAACAATCGATTTCTATGTTTGATAAGGCCATACAACATATTGAAGGGGTTATCAAGCGGAGCGAATGTAATAGCCGGGCCTCCACGTAAGAATCTTGTATATAAACATACTCTTAAAAGTACGTAAAACTTGGTTTTCTTAAAATGGGGTTTAACGGGGGTTTTTTAATTTGATACCTTTCCCATTATCAGATATTTGGACAAGGCCATTAAAGGCCCGATTAAATGCCAAATATATGATTTGGACTAGTTCTATTAATAGAACTATATTAAACTTCCGAATCTATTCATATCTGAATACTTCGGCTGGGAGATGACTCAACCGAACATATAGCGTTGCCTAGTTTATTATCCGTGCAGCCAACCAGCTTGCCAATCTGACAGAGGCTAGTCGGTAATTCTTGATAAGTGGCTAGTTATTGGGTAAAACATTATCTAGAGACATCAAGAGTATTATTCTTTTTTTTTCTTTTCCTTTTTTTAATACTTTTTTGTTTTCTAAAGTTAAGATTTTACGAGTCTCTCAAATTCGCCCCGACGAAACATAGTAATCGTTTCGACTCTGGGACTACATCTTGACTCAATCAACAGTACAAACCCACTCGCCCCACTTACGAGATCCGCTTGGACACGTAACAGACCTCCGGATAAATTCCGTTCCGTATTTACGCTTATTTAGAATCAAAACCTCAACACAAAGAACTCCCCCGCGAGCAGATCCGACATCTCACAACCAAGGAGATAGCAGGCAAGGCTCGCTGCCAATAATATTATCGACTTATAAGGGGAAAACTTTGCACCACGGACCGGGACAAGCCCCCGCATGATAGCTTTACCTATTGCCGCGAACACACCCCAATCCGCCTTTGTGCTATGATAGCAACCAACACTTTCCTGTTCAAATTGCTTGATTATCGTACTGGTGGATGCCTCTGTCCTGTGTGCCTGGAGACATAAAGACTTTTACGTCCAGCCACTTTCTTGAATCAGTTCTCTGATAAGGCGTACTCTGGTAGGACTAATCTACCCCCAATTGGGCCGGACTTACAACAACAACTACAGGACCGACATGATTACCACGGCATATGGACTCTCCACGAACATCTCGGTAATTTCCTTCTCCATGAACAACAGACACCAATTTATCCCCATTTAAAACTAGTCGATAGATAGATGTTCCGCACACCCCGTCTCATCACTTTACTGAAGTACTATTTCCAGATTTCGGTACAGACCAAATCTTCGAGACTTCTGGTATCACCTATGATACCTACCCCTATGGCTAGCCAGGATATTCCAAATACATCAGTTGTGTGGTATGGTATCGGACAGCCTCCAACTTTGGTCCGAAACAGAATTGCGGATGACAACCTCACCCTCCTTGGTATCACGTTCAAAATATCTCAGACCGACATGGCCCATATTACCACTACAAGTGTGGGCCAGCTTTATTCCACGCAATGGCACACAGGTTTTAGTTCTCACCCAATGGTAGAGGTATTCTGTATCCATCGCCGTGAACTAACGCACCGTATGTCTTCCATCGTTGCATCACTCGCCCCGAGTTTCTCGCGGCAGTTCGACAATCTCAACTTCCCTTCAATTTTTCCAGAATCTCTCCAACGAATATGAAGCCTGATGTACATGTAGACCCATAAAAACTTTATCCTAATTGAAATGAAAAATATTATCCCTAGAGCGACAACAAAAAGATAAATAAAATCCCTTCGGCGAAAACAGTACTGAGAGTAATATATATAAGCAATGTCTCAGCCTCTCAATCCCTCAGAGTATTGCTGTTTTCACGAGGCATACCTAAATTTACTAAAAAAACACATTTCGTTTATTTTACTTTTAATTTATTGAACCTAAGGCAAACTTGGGGGTTTATTTTCTCTAAGTCGTTAACACCGCCTTGGGAGACCGAAACTTACATATTTCAGCTAACTACTATGATTTTTTTTTGACGTGGCTATTCCGTAAGTGAATAGACAAAGTTCACAAGTAAAGGTTGTGACTATTTTTTTCACACCCTCTAAGGAGTGAAAGGCCGAAAAGAAGAGAATGAAGAGAGACGCCGCCATCATCCGCTGTCGCCGCCGATGCAGTGAATCAAACCGTGGGCGAAGTTATTGTCGCTGGCACTAATAGCCAAGACAATGCGTCGGACAAGGGTAAGACAACTCTATTAAGAGAGAAGTCCCCCGAAGAAAGAGCCCGAGGGCCAACTATCCCCTCAACTTCGAAGCCTGCATATACGAAGCCAAGAAGTGAGAAACGGGGTGTGTCTAAGACACCCCAACTAAGCCTGATGAGGAATCGCAGAAAGGAGTGTCACCGATTACGGTAGATGATGACGAACCTCAGAGGGTATTTCCAAACGAACATGAAGAGAAGGAAAGCTCGAATAGCCAACCCGAACCAAAATTCAAGTCCTCCGAGCCAACTCGCATAAGTATGTTAATTACTGAAAATAGTGAACTTAGGAATCAGTTAACTGCTCTTAAACAGAGTCTGACAATTGAACACGTAGATCGCATGTATAGATCTGGAGAAAAAGCACAACGCTTACGTGAACATCTTTTTCCTGGAACTACAAAGGCTCTGCAGAAATGGACTGAACGCCAACTAGAGAAGCCGTCTTCAGAACGTAGAAATCTGAGCGCGAACCCCGTAGCCGACGAGCCGGAACAACCAATCTAGCAATTAGATTACGGGGATTTATATCCAGAGGAACAGGCACGTTATACGCCCAAACCGTCTCCAGGTCATGAGTCTCCTGTACTTGAGGGTAGTGTATACCCCAACGCAGGGAAGAATACGCAACCAGAAATTCTGAACCGGGGAGATGCCTGTCCCACGCCGGAAACCAAAATCCACGGGACAGATAATCCCTATGCGTGGTGCATTTCGAATCATTATACCATCTGAGTTCTCCAGTAGTGAGCAACGCAAACCATCCAAGATAGATTTTGGAGCAAATAGACGGGGAACTAAAGCTACCTGCAAACGATATCGAGTTTAATCGAGTGGATCGCACTGCCCTCCATATCTGTTGAGGTGACGGGACCTAGTAAGGCAGTCGACGACTACACCACTCAGATGGAGATCGCACACGATCGCCATGACGTTGAAGACGTAGCATACTTTGCTAGTCTGATTGCCATTAAACAAAAGCGTATTGACCAACTAATGCAGGCTCAACGTGAGCAAGACCAACGAGACAATAAGTGCCAGAAGACCAATAGCTATCACGCTAAGACTTGCAACAAGAAGCCCGACATTAGGTTGAAGTGAAGGTACTACAGGGTTCAATCGTTGCAAAGACAATACAAAGACTCCTTAGATGAGCGTGAAATAATTTCTGTATATTGCAGCGAAAATAAAGTCCTTGCACTAATTGATCTTGGTCCGGAAATATCATGTATATCCGATCGATTTGCATACATGAAAAATATCGAACGGCGAACAAAAACCACTCACCTTATTTTAGCAGATGAGCAGACTTCTAAGTGTAAAACCATGATCACCTATGTTAAAATCTCTTTGGCCGATGATAGACATATCACCATTCAAGCTGTGATAGTTAAGATACCACAGAAGTACGACATTATAGTCGGGATGAGCGATCTGCTCACACTAGGTACAACCGTAGCTAGTCTACCGAACAATATTAAAGGAACAATCAGACGATAATTGTTTAAAACTATATACACCACCGTCTGACACAGTCAAGGCATTAACAACTGACTTTTCAAGTAAGATTATGAATCTTATTTTAATAAACGAGAACATTAAGTTTACTGACTGGGCTCAGTTCCATTTTCACGACGGGTACGCCAGCCTTGACTTCACCAAGCTAGTTTTTACCCAGCTAAACCGTCTCTAAGAAAAATGTATCCTGGAGACACGAGGCTGTAGTAGAAGAACAAGTTGGGAAATGGTTAGCGGATGCAGTGATAGAAATCAACTATCAGCAAACGCCAGTTAACTTCGCGATGCTCGCTGTTGACCAGCATAACTTTGACGGATCATTCCAGACATTCAGAGATATCCTTCTATAAACGAGCTATTGAGAAGAATAGATATATATATATATATATATATATATATATATATATATATATATATATATATATATATATATATATATATATATATATATATATATATATATATATATATAT